TCCTCGCGCCCCGGGCTGCCCAGGCTTCCCCCCCACGAGGGTCTGGCCTGGAGCCCCTCTAGGCTCAAGCGTGTGGGGCTGGCACCTCCCCACTGCACCTGCGTCAAGGTCCTCCCCAGGGCCAGGGTGAGGTGGTTCCTGGGTTTAGTAAGCACCAGGGCAGATGCCCGTCAGCACCCAGGTGATGGGGACCCAGGGGGGCCGGGAGGGCAGGGGCACTAGGGCCTGGGCACAGAATCAGGAGCCCAGGAGCCCCCTCCCCCGTCCCCCCTTCCCCCTCCCACCAGGTCTGGAGGGACGGCCAAGCCTTACAGCCACTCCAGGCTGAGAGGCAGGTGACCCCAAGGCCAGGGCGTCTTCCTGCCCCAAGGCCCCACCTGGTCTCTGGTCCCCAGGGTGGTGGACGCCTGGCTCCTTCTGAGCTGGGGGAGGAGGCAGCTCAGGCCCTGGTGTAACTCTCCTGCTGGCCATAGAGCACCAACAGGTACTAGGCTGGGGCTCAGGGGCGCTCCGCCCCCCTGGCACTGCCAGTCTACGGGGCAACACACAGCAAACCCACAGGCTAAGAAGTAAACCAGGTACCAGCAGGCACCGCAGGGCCACGCGAAGGGGAGCCTCAGGGAGCTGCTTGGGCGAGGTGGCCGGGAAGGCCCTGTGAGGAGTGACTGAGGAGGAGGAAGTGCCAGGTGATGATCACACAGTTCCCAGCACAAGGAGCAAGAAGTGTCCAGCTCTGCACTTACACGTTCCTGTCCTGGCCGAGCGGCAGAAGGCCAGTGTGGGGAGAAGGGTGAGGGTGGAGAAGCCACCGGGGCTAGAGGGTCTCAGAGGCTGGAGACAGGAACCTGGAAGCTATTCTGGCCACTGGGACCACTGGAGGGAGGAACCAGACCTTTGGGCAAGACCACTGGGTTCCCTGGATGTGGAAGAAGAGGCAGAAGCAGCTGAGCTGGTGGGCTGGGCCCTGAGGGTGCCCAGACCCCTGCCCCCTCTCTCCCCTCAGGATGGCACCCCCACACACACACTTCCACCCTTCCTGGGAGATGGCCCAGCCTTATCTCCGGCTCTGTTATCAGAGTTCCTGGCACGTGGTCCCTGCCCACTCTTTGGGGAGGTGGCGTGCCTCCCCGGTCCCGGTGTCCAGCCCTGGCCGGAAGCCTGCCTCGCCTCTGCAAAGGAGGCAGAAGAACAGGTGGCCTTGTGCCCGGCTTATCTCGGCTCCCGCCCTCGAGCCCCCGGGGGCGGAAGTGGGGGGGGGGATGGCTTCGATTCTGGCCCTGCTCAGCCCAGAGAGATAAGCAGATTTAGGGTGCTGGCCACAGCACAGGAGGCCGGAGCTCCAGGGACAGACAGGCCAGAGCCCCTAAGCCCGGTCCTCTTCTTACTGCCACCCCCACCCAGAGGCCAGAGCCAGCAGGACCCCCGGGAGCTGCAGGCCCCCAGCCCCAAGGCCAGGAGGAACCAAGGGCCTTTCTCAAGAGCTGGGCTCGGAGCATACTTCACCGTGGTCCTGCCTAGGTCAGCTCTAGCCCTGTCCCCTGGGCTCAAGGGACACACTGAGCCAGACTGGTCCCGCCTGGGCATTCCAGCACACAGAGGGCCTCAGCGACACCCTCCATCCTGGGCGTTCACTCCTGCCCCCTCTGCCTTACTCTGCTGCCCACCTCCCTCCCGGCCACAGCCAGTCCACCTGCGCCTGCCCCTCAGCCTCGAGGACACCAGCCGGCCCTGGGCTCCACCCCTCCAGCCCTTTGCTTCTGTTCACCTTTCTCACAGGAGCCTCTCCTCCCGCTGCCTCAGCCACACTGTGCCCACCTGTGCCCACACCTGGGCAGAAGGCCCCGCTTCCCCGATTCTAGTAAACCGTGCCCACCACTCACTACTGCCCAGCCCAGCGCCCTCTCCCCTCCGTCGTCCCACGTGCTTGGCGCTGGGAGCTCACTCTACTCCAGAGCCCATGGCCCGCGCCCAGCCGCCAGCCAGCCTCTGGTCTCAGGGCCTGTCCTCACCCAACACGTGCGCAGCCCCTGCCCCCGCACCGCCCCCACGGCAGGTACACCCCGCTGCTCACCAGGACACACCGGGCACTTCTGACCATTGCCCCCCGCCCTCCGGGGTGCCTGGGAGAGGGCTACCACCATTAGCTGACTGCCCAGGCCCTGCCCACTGCCCCACAGGGCAAGAACGCAGCCTGGGAGCAGGGCGTGGGCTGGGCTGGGAGGCGGGGCCGTTCTCTGCACGGAGATTGGGTTGTTAGAGGTGCACCAATCTGGAGAGCCCTTCCCATGTGACACGGGTGGGGGGGCGGGGCAAGGGTTGGATGCAGAAGGTGCCCCCTGACCGTGATGCCAACCTGGTGCAGCCCCAAGAGCCCACCTCCTTGGCCCAGCAACTCTCGCTCCCTCACCCACATGTCCCTGAGAACCTGGGTGCCGGCACGGGTCTCGGCCAGACCCTGGAGCGCCTGCGGGGACAAGCGTGCCACACCCTGAAAGCCTGCGTTGTGCGGACACCTCAGTCATGGCCTGCAGTTCTCAGAGAGCCCACGGGGCATGGCATGGCTTGGTGGTGCCACTTTGGACTGTAGTTCAAAGCAGGCCCACTAGGTGCCTGAGGACAGAGCTGCCCCATGGCCGGAGGGATGCGGGAAGGGCCTGAGCCAGAGACGGGGCGGGACAGGCTGTGGGACTGACGCGCCCTCCTTCCACAGGACAAAGACAATTCTGGTGCCACAGTCCTGCACCTGGCTGCCCGCTTCGGCCACCCCGAGGTGGTGGACTGGCTGCTGCGTCACGGAGGTGGGGACCCCACCGCAGCCACAGACACGGGCGCCCTGCCCGTCCACTACGCCGCCGCCAAAGGAGACTTCCCCTCCCTGAGGCTTCTCATCGGGCACTACCCTGAGTAAGGACACCCCTCCTGAGGTCTCGGGGTGGGGTCACCAGGGCTCGGGGTGCTTGAAGTTTGCCATCCCCTCCGGCATCTGGGGGAGTGGCCGCGCCTGGGGCCAGAGGGCCAGGCCAGAGGCGGCTCCTGCCCAGCCAAGATGTCTCCCCTCCTGGTAGGCTCACTGCCACTTGCCCCAGGCCCTGCAAGCCCGGGGCATCCAGCCCAAGGTCCCTTGCTCCCCGGGTGCTCCCAGCCTGCAGGGTGCTCCCTCCAGCCCCAGCCTCATTGGCTGCCATGCTCATTTGCAAGGCTGTTGTAAATCGGGGTTGGGGGTGGGGGGGTAAGAGCATCTCCTAAACCCCCAGGCAGGAAGGCGATGGAGGAGGAGCCATGGCACTTACCCAGAGGTGGAGGGAGAGGGCTGCCCACCCAGACTCCACCCCCAGCCCCACAGCCCCCTGGCCAGGCCGTCCACAGGGCAGCTGGTCATTTCCTGTGGCCCCTCAGCCCATTCCCAATACTGAGGCGCTGGGTTCCCACACCCCAGGGGCCTCTGCTGAGTGGCTGGGCTGAGGAGCGGCTGGGCTGAGGGGCAGCTGGGCTGTGGGCTGGGGCTCCCCGGGGCGGGGTGGGGCAGGTGGGAGAATGGGGCTCCACAGCAGGGGAGTCGGGGCGGTCCCGGGGAGGAAGGGAGCCAGGTCTTCGGGCGCAACTGGGGGAGACAGGAGCCCTGGGGGAAAGCCACTCAGACACGGTCTGAGGGGGGCACCAGTGGCCCTGGGCCCTGATGGGTGGGGTGACCTCTGTCAGTCCAAGTGGGCGCCTAGGACATGAGCGGCCTCGGAGGACCCAGCCACCAGGCGAGAGGGTCCTCCCCTGGCTCCCTCCTGGGGCACCTGCAGGG